GAGGGAGGGAGGGAAGGGGGGAGGGAGGGAGGGAGGGAGAGAGAGGGGGGGGGAGAGAGGGGGAGGGAGGGACGGAGGGACGGAGAGAGGGGGAGGCGAGAGAGAAAGGGTCCCCCGCGCCGTCGTTGAGCACCGTCCACCAGCCGGCAAACCTTGCGTCGCGGACGAGCGAGTCGATGACGGCGCCGACGCAGTACGGCTGCCCCGGCGCCGCCACCACCTGCGCCACCACATGCAGGCCCGCCGCCACCCACCCGTAGTAGACGGGCGTGCACCGCACGACCCACTCGAGCGGCCGGCGCCGCACGTGCCGCCGGAAGATGCCCGAGCCGCGGCGCGGCGTGCCGAGGCCGAGGCCCGCCTCGTCAGACGGAAAGGGCGAGAGCAGGCCATCCGGTGTCTCGTCCACGTCGTCCGCGACGCCGCCAAACAGCCGGCCCGTCTCCTCGAGGTCCGCCGACCACCCGACCCACTTGGCCTCGAGCGCGCCGACGTTGACGCGGGAGTCCTCGGTCGGGTCGACCGAGGCGCCGATCGGCGCCGAGCGCGGCGATGGCGGGCCCGGCTCAATCATGAAGCGCAGGCAAGTGAAGGCGGGCGTTTATACCACCGTAGAGTGCCAAAAAGAAAAACACGGGCGCCGACCCGCGGCGGCGCCATCTCTGCTGTGAAAAAGAAAAGAGCACGTACGCACCTACTTTCAAGACAACGCGTTCCTTACGACGTGCCTATGGCTGAGCCGCCCAATGGCGCTCGCCCACTGGCCTACCGCAGCCGAGCGCCTCGCGCCCGGCTCTGGGCCCCGCGACAACGCTTCGCGCAGTCTTGACAATGGAAATCGACCGGCTCCGCTCCTGCGAGCGGGCCGTCCTGCTTCTGCGACGATTCTGAGGTAAGGGTTAGGGGGAGGGGTAGGCTTAGGGTACTGGTGGCACTGCGGCGCGCCCTCGACGTTGTAGAACTAGGCGACACCGACGCGGAGATGACGATCGTGATGCGGCCGTCGTCAGCCGGCACGATTCCGACCTTCGCGAAGGACTTCATCGGCGACAACTCGCCCGCGACGTTGCCGCCGCCCGTGTCAATGCCGTCCTTGAGCGGGCGGGGCTCGCTCTTGGGCGGGATGCCGACGGCCTTGGCGCCGGCCGGATCTGGAAACTCCTCTGGAACCTCCTTGGTCGAGACGTTCCAGTCGGCGACGCCCTACGCATCACGCGGGACGGATGAAGGAGTGGGTCGGCAGACGCACGTGCGCAGAATGCCAGGCGCTCGCCGCCGGGGCGGGCTCCTCCACCGGAAACTCCTTGATTGACGCGCCGGACTCGGCCACGGTGACGTCCTCAGCGGGTGCGTTCTTGGCGCCGCTCGCCTGGGGAGAATGGGAGCGTGTTGGGAGGAGATGGTAGCTCTGCGACAAGCGCACACGCACAAGCCTTTGCTCCGAGGAGCGGAGGCGACTCCGGCGCGGAGAAGATAACGACCTTGATGCTGCCGTCTTCGGCCGACACGATGCGGGCCTTCACTTCCGTCTTGTTCTCGGACATGTTGTTGATCGAGTTCACTCGTACCTATGGTAGGGGGCGGTGGGTGGCGGGTGTGTGATATTCACGGGCGGGGGGGGGGGGGGGGGAAATTAAGGTCAAACTTCGCCAATTAAAATTAATTAAGCGAATTGACCAAACTTGATGGGGACAATCACGGGCAATCTCGGGTGGCGCATGACAACCAGCGATAGAGCGCCTCCACAAAAGAGGTGCGGAAATGCCATACCGGTCTC